AAAATAATTTTATGGTTGGGGGTCACCACAACATGAGGAACTGTATTAAGGGGTCGTGGCATTAGGAAGGTTGAGAACCGCTGCCCTGGAAAGTTACTTTCCATAGAACTCCTTTCTTCATGTACAATTCCCCATTTGGTTATACATTAATTTGAAGGGTACTTTGATGTATGACCAACCTTTTGATTGGATGGTGTCGGTCTCACAGCACTAGGAAGGCTTATTCCTAGGAAGTCTCAGTATTGATGTTATCTTGTTGACCATTGGGAATTGGGCAACACCATAACCATGGGATCTGAGTTGAGGCCAAATTTCCCCAAAAGGGAAGGGCAAGTAAATAAATGGAAAGCATTTAGGTCTTATGGCCTTCATTGTGTGTGTGTGTGTGTGTGTGTGTGTGTGTGTGTGTGTGTTGGGGGAGCGGGAATGGGGAACACACTGGATCATTTCTCTGAGTGTCATGATCTGAGTTTTTCCCTCTGTTTTGTTTTTCTGTACCTGGCATCTAGTATAACATTTATGTAAGCCATCAAAATAATATTAACAGTTATACGTGTTTAGTAATTATAAACAGTTGGACTATACAAAACAACCCAAAGAACAAGTATAACAATTATTATGACTGATGTCATTAGCAAACAGGTAAACACAATCAGACAAAATGGATTCTGGGTTTAATATTAATCCTAGTTATACAGGCCGTGGGATAGCTGTCTATCTCTGGTGTCAGCAGCTTCTCATCCTCAAGGAGTCTTTAATGTCCTTTGTAGATAGAGCCCAAGAAGCTTCCTTGACAAGGGTAAATGTCTATTCAAAGTTAAGGCGCCTAATAAGGTCCCTTCCACTGAGGTTGGAGAGTATCTTTTATTGGATGTCCTTTCCAAAAACCATTATCTCAAGTCCGTCTCCTGGGAGCTCACTGAAAGGAAGTGGTTACCAACTTTGCATATTTTTGAAGTGACTCTACCAAACCTTGGCAATAGTGTAAGATGTCTCCTTTCAGTACTGTCAGCTCATAAGTTCTTTCATGTAAGTCCAGCTTAAATGCACTGTGATGCATAAAGGAGTGAAAAACTGAAAAACGGGGAGCCAGAGAGGAGCCAAGTGGCCATCTTAGGTTTCCCATATCCCCAACTGTTTTTTGGTTTTGTTTTTATTATTATTATCACTTATTTTCCCATGTAATTTAACATAAATGATAAATCCTTTGAGGTGTTCCAGGGGCCCTTCTGGAACACCAAAAAGTTATTCCTACATATATTGAGATTAAACCTTGAGACCTCAATTTCTAATGAATACTAAGAAGTAAGCAGTTAACGTTCTTTAGCTTGGCAGGTTTATTTTATATTTTATCACCTCTAGAAACATTTTATAGACATCAAAGTCAGTTATTAACATGGACTTACTGTTGTAAAAACCCAGGTAAAATAAAGACGTGTCTGTTATACTTAAACCAATAAATTTAACCTAGTTTTTATTGATTTCAGATTACTTGAACTCGAAAAGCATTTGAGTTTCTATATTTCTGAGAAGTTTAGAATACCCAGTCCTTACAAGTGCTTGCCTTTAAATTAATTTTAACAATACTATCTGATGTAGAAAATGATCTCACATTTGCAACATACCTACATAGATATACACAGACAGTCACAAACAGAAAACAGTTGGATCCAGATTTTGTTTTGGAGGAATTTACAGTTTATATCTGTCCTTTACAAGTCAAGTTCCAGATGACCTTCCACCTTTTAAAATAATTTATCTAAATCCTCTTTTAGAAGCTTCTAGAAATCAAATATGCTTTCCATTCTTTCTGCCTCATTTTGTAGCCAGCTTTTTCTAATTGTGTGCACAAAAATTATTTTAGAAGTGTCAAAGTATCCTCATCTTGGCCATTGTAATATTAATGGGAGGCTGACTGTCCTGGTCCTTGTTGGCCTGAAAGGCATGATTTCCATGTTAATTTTGAGATTTGTAGAGTCTGCACAAACTTGTAGGGAAAACCAGCCCTTATACACACGTCCCCATGAACCAGATGTGGTGGATTATCCCTAAAGGACCGCTTTATGCCCTAGAGAAGATTTTTCCTCAGACAGCCCCACAAAGATCCTTTGTCACCTAGGATATACAAGCAAGCAAGGGCTAGCAAGAGCTTACTGGATGCTGCAAGAACCACAATGCTTTCCAAGGCAAGGGCCTCTCTCTTGCGTGAACCAATTCCAGGTCTCCCTGCCCTTATCCCCATGGTTCCCGCCAGCTTCTATGGGGTCACCTGCACTACCTCACTGGATGTCTCCTGGTGCCCATCTCCGCCACTCCAGTTTTGGGGATCTGAACTATTGTCACCCCATTGTCTATTCAAGTTGAGGAAGCAAGTAGCAGCAGCAACGCATTCTTTCCCCTTTCCCTTAGTTACCTCAATCATAATCCACTGTGAGGATTTTCTAAGAACAGCTCAAATAAAGTCATGGTCTGCTACTTAAAGCAAGGAGACACAGAATTCTAAACATGACTCACCCAAGTTTACCCGATGCAAAGCAGGGAGTCAGTGGAGCACAGTGGGTCCCTGCTGGTGCCTAGCACTGGGTTCAGGACTGCAGTGTGGTCCTGGGTGGGCTTCTTTGGAATCCTGCCATACTATGCCAAGTAAATACCAACGTAAGAAATGTCAAAACCTGTAGAGAATTTTTATAAGAGTGTATTTGAGCCAAACTGACAACATATGCCGCGAAAAAGATCTCAAAACACTCCCACAGCTTTTTTTTTTTTTTAAAAAGACTTGAACCGTTTTTACGGGTTTCAGTGGCATCCATGTTAAATGGGTATGACATTGGAAACATTCATTTATCAGGAAATATTTTAATGTTTTTTTCTTTCTATTTTATATTTGGTGTTATAAGTCTTTATATTTTGTGTAGAACCTGTACATCACTGAGATAAGTCACATTTCTATTTTGAAATGAAAATTAACAATCTATGTAAGTATACTACTTACTGACTTTTTATTTAAAAAATTTTTTTTGTATTCCTCCCCTTCCCCCCAAATACCCATTTTTAGCCCTTTGTAAAACATTGCACTTGAAAAGATACTCTGCACTATAATAAAACTGATCTTTTAAAAAATGCTTCTATGTCTCATTTTCTGTCATTTTAAATACCTTTTTTTTAGGACTTTGTATTTTAGGGTTTCCTTTATTGAAGGAAAGTAGTATTTTTGGAGTCGAATTGTTCAGTATACAGTTTGGCATTGACAATGTGGAGTATGGGATGACAATATCAAAGTTAGTGAATTATAAATATGTTAACCATGTATTCATATTTAGGAACAGATTTTATTTGAAGGGGTTTCACTTGTGAGTATTTTTAGGTATCATAAATAGTCTCATTCTTTTCTTCAGGTATTTAATTACGGGATTTCCAACAAGAGTGCAATTCAATTAACCAACCCTTTGTTATATGTCACATTCCCTTGTTTTTAAGTTTAGGAGTTTTGCTTAAAATATCAAATCCTATGCTTAGATTGCAGGTCTGTTACTTACATATTTTCTTGAGGGGAAGAAATTACAGCTTTATCTTTGAGGTCCATCAATTATAGTTTTTGCCCCTGGGTATTTGGGATGGGAAGGGGATTCATTTTCACTGTATACTCTGTTGAATTGTTGAAAGTTATTTAATCATATGCTTATTTTCCTTATTGATAACTAATTAATGTTTTTATGCACATACCCAGAAGAAGCTACATGCTGTATTTTGAAGTCTGTTGCATAAGATTTACTATTGAACTGAATGTGTGTAATATAAGAATGCTTCTTGGAGATAATTTGGCATCTTTTATTTCCGTAAATTATGGCTACCATTTAAACATAAGGGTAAGGTGAAACAAGCCAGATCTTATCAGTCTTGTGAATATTAAACTGATTTACTTGTGATTCTGAATTAGTAATACCACTTTCAATTCTTTCAAATTAAGTTGGACTAGACACAGATATGTAGTTTATTAAATAAATCTAAATATTTTTAATTTTTAAATCTGTAAAACAGATAATTGACCTATTTCTGAAAACGACTTGAAGTCATTAAAGGTCTACTAAGCCTAGTTAAACATAATTGTTTTTAAAACATTTTTTATCT